ATAGCGGGTTAACTAGTCTGCTAGGATCGTAGCGATCCTATTGCCGTTAATTACTATTATAGTAAAATAGGTGGTAACCTAGAATTGACTATCGCTACTAGTCTCTTCCTCTTTGTTACTTTTACTAGTTTGTTTAGTTACGTAGTAGTATTGCTAAGGGTCTTTAGCAGTAGGTTATAAGTCTAACCCGTCGAAACCCTCGTATTAAACGAGAAATTAGCTATATGCTAGAAGTAACATATCCTAGGCATATTAGGTAGTTTTAAACTTTTCGTACGCTTTTCGTCTCTCTTCTATAGTATATTTAGTTAACTAGCAGTTAGGTTTTCTATATACGTAGTACTTCTTAGGCGTTAGTAGTAATAAGGGTTTGTTACGGCTTCTTCCTCGTAATAATCGACTTCGTAATAAACGACTATATCGTAAATAACGCCCTCGACCGTTAAAAGTTCTGTCGGTCTAGTACTGCTTTAGTAGGTTAGCTACTATATTAAATTATTATTAACGTCCCACACCCACTTCTGGGCACCCCCCACATTTGGGCACCCCATTTACACCAAAAACGCCGTTTTTCGAAATTCTATATTAAACTAAATACTTTACTTATTAAAAAGAATAAATATATATTAAATAGATTAAGACTTAATTATAATACTTAAGTAGCTATATACTAGTATTATTGATAATAAGTATTATAAATTCAAGGTTTAACATTTATAATACTAATTTACCTAGCCTATATCTTAATATATAAAATAGGTAGAGATATTTAACTAATATGATTAGAATTTTTAAGTAAGATATAGTAGATTTATATATTCTTATACTTAGTAAAAAATTCTTTAAGCTTAGAATAATATTTTAAAATTTCCCTTAAGAAAAGTTTCTATTATAGAATTTTAACCCTTAATTATACTATATTTACTAAAGTAATACTTTTAAATCTCTTTTAGATATAATTATATACTTTTAATAAGTATAAATATTAATTTCCTAGATTTTTTAAATAAGTATATATGAGCGAAAATATATTTTTCTAATGTTAAGGAATACTAGTAAGTTACTAGTATCTACTAACATTTTAAAGCTTTTAGTTTTAAACTTCTATATTATAACTATTATTATATTTAAACCTTTATAAAAAATTAGATGGCTATAATTATACTTAACATAGTTTATATATATTTTCTTTTCTTAGTAAGTATAGTAGTTAGTTTAATATAGAATTTCGAAAAACGGCGTTTTTGGTGTAAATGGGGTGCCCAAATGTGGGGGGTGCCCAGAAGTGGGTGTGGGACGTTAGTTAAGATAGGTAGCTATCTCGATCGACGAGATTAATTAGCTACGAAGTCCTTCGTACGTCTTAGCCGGTATAAATAACGCTATTATATACTCTAGAATATCTATACAAGCGTATAGAAGTTAGATATAGAGGGATCGGTCGTTATGATCCTATTATAGCAAACCGGGCTGAATCTTGCTTAATTTATTACATAGTATGTTAAAACACTCCGATTTAGTCTTTCTAGGGTTATTGCGAATGATTTAGGGAAGAGTAGTTATATTCTACTACGTAACGTATGCTTATTGCCTTTCCCTAGTCTCGAAGTATAATTTTAATTAGTTAATTATAGTCTCGAAGTTAGGCTATAGGTTGATTACTTTAATCAAGGCGTAGAAGTAGGTTTTAGCTATTTCTTTTAGTATTAGGGGAAGTACCTTGTTATATTAGGAGGTATAAATTCCTAGCATTCTATAGTGATCTACGAATACTAGCATCTTCTTTTCAAGTATATCGTATATATCGCCGCTATATTTTATATCGTCAGGGTATAGTTTCGCGAATTCTGTTAATTACTTTCCGATACGGTTTATTAACTTATATAGTTAGAAGTCTGTTAACGGAGAGACCGTAGGATATAGCGGTCGGTACGGTAGTTACTACTATTATTATTCTTATAGAGGAGGTAGCTATAGGGTTGGTTCGACTCTTCCTCCTATGCTATTAGCTACTATTACCGGTCTCGTAATCTCTTCGTAGAATTCGGGGTCTTTTATCAAAGCCTTTAGGTTGCGATATCTCTTAACGCCTTGTTCGAGTTCTTAAGGTAACTAGTAGTAGAATTCTTCCTTTTTAAAAGCTAATGCTACGTTTTTCGAGATTTTCTTACTATCTATTTCGACGTAGACGCCGTTACCGATTAAATAGTCTTTAAAGAATCGTAAGATTAGGGGAGGTACGTTCTAAAAGTCTTCTTCTAACTAGTTAGCGAAATCGGGAGAAACTTCGTTCTATAGCTCGAGGCTTATAAGATTCCTCTTCTTATAGGTCTTAAGTAGGAAACCTATATAGGAACCTAGTTGCTATAGGCTAGCGTTTATAAGGTCGATTGCCTAGTTGCTTTATACTACTAGATCGATTATACTTTCGATTCTCTATAAGATAGGGACTATTAATTAGCTTTTAGTAGTAACGCTGCTCGCGGGCGATCCTTCTCGTAAATTTCGCTTTATTCTAATAATATAAAAGGATTACTTCTATTTAGAATCTTAAATTCTAATCCTTAATAGCGTTAGCTGCAATTAGTATAAGATATAGGCCTAGAAGTAGGAGTTAAAAGACGATTCGGGATATTACGATTCTAAGGGGAAAGAATCGTAAAATCGGGGATTTTCGTCGGTTTATCGTTTATTTCCGTCGGCGCCGTTCTTATTAATATTCTCGAGGGGTATAAAGGTATATATAGGTCTCGAATTAGTAGGGAGAAAGTTCTATTATAGATTCTCTTATAAATCTCTCTTTCTTATTTTAGGCTTCGCTCCTTACTATTAGGAAGTTTAGAATCTAGTAGATAGTTAGCTTTATAACGCTTATAACTACGTGTGTTTCTCTTAAGCCGTAGCCTCGGAGGCGTATACGTATAGCTATATAGGCAGATTACTATTAGTAGTCTTTGCTTGCCTTTCGGCGTATTCTTCTTCTAGTAGGGAGGTCTTCTTATAGCAAGCGCCTCGCGGTTAGCACCTCGTCTAGGGATTTATTAAGAAACTAGCAGGCGCTTTGTGATTAGCACCGCGCGTAGGGGATAGTTATAGTTAGGGAAGTTATTATCCTTTATAGGATTTATAAATCTTCGCTTTTATAACGTAAAGAGGTTAGAAGACTATCGATTCGGTAGGTTTCTTCTTCTAGTAATTAAAAACGCGTAATAGAACGCTTTTGCTAGCGATAATTAGCTACGATTAACCTTATCCTGCCTAGGGTAAGCATAGCAGTCCCTAGGTTACTCGAATAATCGGATTACTAGTAGATTCGAGGAAAAGAAGCTTTCTTCTACTAGTTTCCGTAGATCCTAGTTACTCTTGCTTCTTCTCTCGTTAGTACGAAATCCCTACTTTTACCTAGGCTTAGGTATCTAGTTTAAGAAGTCGTCTCTTCTAGTATTAACCTTGCTAATCTACGGTTTATCCGTAGCAGAGTAGTAATTATGAAGTTAACTAAATTAATAGCAACTGTGAGGTTTACTACTGATTAGTATAGGTTTTATAGGGGGTGAAACGGAATTCCGTTCGTTAATAATAAATAATAGTAAATTGGTTCTAATCGATGGTTTATGATAGTTGAAAGTAGTGTTGTTGACTAGAAGGTAGGGATATTCCCCCTTGGCCTGTCACGTGGGTCTGGGAGGCTTGGGCCTCTCAGCCTGGCGGGCGTGTGGCTGGAAGTGCCACACGACTCCGTATTCCAACTATCGCAACAGTCTCCTTGATTCACTGAAGACTTTCCAGTACTAGCAGGCCTGGCACTGCTATTCATACCCTCCAGGAGATTAACCAAAACGCCGGTTCCGCTTACGGTTTCTTGTTTTGTACTAAATCTCGGTCACACTCCTTGGCATTACTTTGGACGTGTGTCTGCCTGACTCATGGCGTGGTACAATAAGTTGCTACGCTTTGAGCATGACAAGAATCAGTGAAGCAATATCATGGTATTTTGAGAATATGCTATTGACTCCTTACGCAGTCAAATTTTCGACTGCTGGGAAACTTATTGACCCCAATTGCTCCCTATGCTCAAGACAAAGAAGGCAATTGTCATATTTTATTTCCCTCTTTCCCAGGCTTACTACTATCTCTATTCGAAGAAAATCTGCACATGTGGGCTACTGAAGATGGGCCAAGACGATTGAAAAAAAGGACGCTAGAAGTCTCATGAAACAGGAGGCCTGGCTCAACAGGCGAATTAGCTGTATCTCCAAATATTTGAGTTCTTTCAGTCAACATGTTCCCTGCAATTTGAGTGTAGTATCCAGTCATATGCTGTCTTTATGCCCGTATTCTACAGCACATGCGACCTACTCGGGATTATGTCCATTTTACTGGAGTCCCACCTCACCCACCACGCTAAGCCAAAATGCATATCAGCGACTTTTTATGGTTATAATCGCTCTAGGAAAGTCTAACTAGATGAAAGTAGATGTGAGTTTCAGCTAGAGGCAGTCATGACGAATCTATGCCCACATTCTGTCCGAACGGCTCGCTCGGCACATCCACAAAGTGACGAACCATGCTAATGCACTGACGAAGGGGCTGATACAAGCAAAGATGGGCCGTTAAGATAGTCCATAACAAAAAGATTTTCGAGCTTAATTATACCCAATCGCCATAGACAACGAGTCGGCGCGGTATTGCCATGCGGAGGGAGACGGCTGGCCAGAGATGGATTATTCCATGTGGCTTGGTCACTTAGCCAAGAACACCACTTAAGATAGATAGGGAAACTCCTAAAATTAGGAGGCAGACTTCTGTTGTCGATCGCTCTTCGAATAAAATGGCATTGGTATGATAGGATCAATGCTGATATATCCTCATAAAGATTTAAAAGTACAAGATGCACAAAGCTTTTCGAATTTCCCCGTTTAGTGAGCTTCGGGCAGAACCCGCCGCACATTCTTTTCCTAAGCATCTTTTCCTAAGCAACTTACTCTCGTTAATCGGACATGAAATTCAATACCATAAACTCTTTACGACTCGCTTTAAGCTTGTTTGCCTTTTCTGTAATAGCAAAAGACCCGGAAGGGGAGCCTTACCATTCTGGAGTTCCCATTCTGAGACGGGCTACTCCTGTGCGGAATGGAACCACTACAGCGAGATTGATACCTTCATCTAGTCGCCATTCTCTTCCACCTTCAACAATTCGTTCGTCAGGAACTTCATCATCTCGTGGTCCCACCTCAGTCCCAACAAATGCACCAACAATCACTAGCCCCCCAGTCTCATCAGAGGCACCAACTACGACGCCACCGGTAACAACAACGGTCAGCAATGGAGATGCCATTGTAGTACCTTTCGGCGCAGTTGTCGTAGGAGGCCCTGGCGGCGGTTCTTTCACCATCGCGGGCTCGGCTGCAGCGCCCGTTGCAGTTGCGGCCGGCACGACCGTGACAGCCGGCTCTTCGTCGGAGGGAGACAAACCCGATGACCCGGACAAGCCCCCGAGCTCCGTGCCTGAACAGCCCACCTCCGAACCGCCCGCCAGTACGGTACCTGATAGTTCGGCGCCCGCAAGTACAGCGCCCACCAGCGCAAGGTCGACAAGTTCGGCTCCAAGCGGCACACCTGAACCATGCCTCATTTTCCCAAAAGATCAGGCCACCAGCCAGGAAAATGCAGATTTCATTTCTCTACTAGACAAAGAGCTCGTAAAAGATAATTACAGAGCAACTGTCGATAAGGTAGTAATGTTTGTAAGCGCCAATATCACTCGCGTGCAGCAAGCGACTCTTTCTGAAAATCCCTTGGTATGCCATTTCCTTCTGCTCCTCAACACACTGAAGTCCCGGCTTACCGGTAATTTAGGTCGGCGGCGTTGAGCCGGTTGTTAACTTTGACAACAACGCCGGAAAGTCCGTACTGGTTCCGAACAGCAAGCGCGACGACGAGATCCATGAGAAGTGGTGGATGGAGTCGCTAGACAAACTTGGAAGAATAAAGAAGCGCGCGGTAGTAAAGCAGGACAAAGCGCCAACCGAGCTCATCATGTTCTCCCAGCCTCCGCTGGTAGACATCAAAGTGCTTAGTGCTTACACGTACGATGACAGTGCGGGAACCGATATCACGGTCTACGTCCTGGACAGTGGATACTACACCAAGAACAGCGTAAGTAAAGAATCTTCACGTTACCGCAAGGCGTAAAGTGACCTGATTCAACTCATAGGAGTATACCGGTATGGCGGTAAAGCCTCGTTGGATCTTCGGAGGCTCACAAGCCGACAAATCCGTTGAAGAAGACATAGATTCCGGTGGCCACGGTAGTTGTGCTGGGTCTAAAGTCAACGGGCCTAAATATGGAACAGCGAAGAAGGCCAACCTCGTTGTTGTGAAAGCTGAAACAGCGTCTGACGACACGCTTGATGCCCTAAACAAGATCTTGCAGGATGTGAGGGATAAGAAATTGTAAGGCAAAGCCATTGTAAACTTTTCACGGTCAAGTACGCAGGTTTTGTTTTTTTTTCTTCATCAGCAGATGATAGACACAATTAATTACACGCTGAAAACCGATTACTAACCCACTGAGCAGTTGATAATCCGACCAAGTTCAATCAGAAAATGATTAGCTATTACGTCAGGGAGATGATCAAAGAAGACGTTATCTTCATCGCAGCATCTGGCAATGACAACAGGGAAGAAGTCGACGTAGGTATAGTCTTTGATGATACTTTCAAACCGGTGACTAACTTCATCGCCTCTTAGGATGGTAAAGTTGCCGCGCTCGACGTAGACTCGTGGCCCCCCTTGTTAGCAGGCTCTGGCGTGCCGATCATCAACGTTGGAGCCGTTGATAACACTGGCAAGAATGCCTCATTCTCCCAGGGAGGTCCTCTTGTTCATGTCATGGCACCCGGGGTCCAGGTCCAGTGTGCTGCCAACTCATTCTTCTCTAACACACAGAAACTAGATGGAACTTCCTTTGGTGAGCTACCCTTGCGCCCGTGAAATAGTCGTTGGTGTTAAGATAACAGTCATTGCTAACACTCTCGACGCAGCCGCGCCCGCGGTAGCTGGCCTCGCAGCCTATTTGCTTGCATTGGGGGAGTACCCAGAACTGTACCAGTCTGGAAAGGTAGCGGAGAACATGAAAAAGCTCCTCATCGATATGGCGTACCAAAGAGTACCAGATGGCGGCCAGGTCGTTTTCAATGGTCAAGGAGCTGTATGTTCTCGCCCCAGAAGCGCCAAGATGAGAAGGCAAGACCTTAGCGGCGAGGCATGCTCCGTTGTCTCGTCCACGAGTACGATACAGCCCACACCGACCGGCACGAAGCCACCAAGCTCGACGGCTGCCCCTTCCAAGGCTCCTCCGACGACAACTTCAAAGCCACCTGCAACAACATCTGCACCTCCACCTCCACCTCCGCCGCCGGCACCAAAGACTCTGTTCTCGTTGAATGAGCAGGTCGCAGCGGGTACTACGTCATGCTTTCCTACAAACAGCTTTTCTACCACAGCTGGCACGACGTACGGCTTCTCGTTTGAAGTTGACGCTGGCCTGCTGGTCAGTATTCAGACCGGTTCGACAGAT